TTAGATACACTTTGAATACAAAATCTACTGATACAAGTTTTATGTCATGAGCTTGAGTATAATTTGAGTAATTGTTAGCCAAAGTTTATAAGATTTGACTTCCCACTACACAAAATAGGTTTATCATTCCAAGATGGAGAGTAGTAAATAACAAGATGGTTGAAAGAAACTATTGTGTTCAATCTAACATCGCAGATTGATAGTGAGAGACACGGCATAATCGCATATATATAAGGTAATTTCAGTACCTCACACGAAACCTCAAAAATGCTGAAGAGGCTAATCGATGGTTGGCAGCCAATTCACGTCAAGACTTATTTGTCATGGATTAGCTAGCTAGGATGATTAGAAGGAAGATCAGAAATTAATAAAGATGGGTCGATTTAAACTAGTAGTACATCTCTGATTGTCCCCTTACTTATTACAAAAGAAAAGATGAGGAAAACGACACGTTGGATTTGTGACCTTACACTTTTTGACACCATCTCTGATCTCTCCCCTCCCCAATCCCAAAATTTTAAATTTCTCCTCCTGCAAGGCGCTCTCATAGCCCCCACGACAAGATGCATGCCAACCTGACGACTCCGACGTCAGCACTCGTCGGTTTTCTCTATCATGTATAGTATTGGTCACACTAATTTCGCACAAGCATTTTTTTGGTATGCAAATTGGGGTGTCCTGTGGCGAAAACAATATGCAAATTTATGTCGCTGCCCGTGCGTAGATTGGTTGCATGACAGTGACTACACGTCTGACACTAAATCGCTAATCACCAAACAGCCTGTTTGGAAGGCCGTATCGTATCGTGGATTATTTACTGCTGGTTGGTTTAGTGTGAGAGAAAAATACTATTCCTGGCTAAAAATTTACGATCGTTTACGAGCAAGCTGTGCAAGGCAAGACGGCGTGTCGCCCTCGCTGTACAACCGGCTACACTTACCCATCGTCGGCGTAGCCATCCTTCATGACTCCAAAGTTGAGGACCTGATGATTTTTCATGTATGTACTCATATGGCATTTGTTGCAGCTTAGCTAGCAACATGCATGTTGTTTATTCTCGGGAGAATTTCTTGCGTGTCATTAAAAAAGATCGCAATGCCCTGTGTATCATTGGAAAAGTTCAGTGGTCTTTAACGTCACTGTTCCAATTTTTGTTGTGTCCTCCATACCACTGCCGTCAGTTTGGGCTCTAACACCATCAAACTGCAGGTGTGAAAAGTCGAGAATACCCTTAAGTCTAAATATGTCATTAATTTTCTTGAGCATCTTAACGACTTCAAATGAAAAAACTCAAAACTAGAAAGTTGTAGATCTCGTCGAGATCTATAATTTTCATATAAAACTTTTCTTCATTTAATTCCGCAAAAAATATGATGAATGATTAATATATCTTAGAAAAATCCTCATCATATTTTTTGCGGAATTAAATGAAGATAATTTTTATATGAAAATTATAGATCTCGACGAGATCTACAACTTTCTAGTTTTAAGTTTTTTCATTTGAAGTCGTTAAGATGCTCAAAAAAATTAATGATATATTTAGACTTAAAGGTATTTTCGACTTTTCACACCTGCAGTTTGACGGCGTTAGAGCCCAAACTGACGGCAGTGGCATGGAGGGCATAAAAAAGTTAGAGTAGTGACGCTGAAGACCGCTGAACTTTTCTAAAGACACACAGTATGACACACCGGAAATCCCCCCTTTATTCTCTGTTTCACGGTACAAATGGAGAAGTCACCTACCAAATCCTAGGGTCTGGACGCGGGATTCTCAAAAACAGGAATGGAAAAGACTCATGATTAGATTTGCATGTAATTTGCAATCCTATATCAATTCAAAATGCGGGAAAGTTTCCATTGTTTGGCCTTTAGATGCCAGACAGGAAAAAAAAAGCAAAAATTCTAAGAAAGATACAGACACAAAGTAAAGTTTCTATAAGATCTAACCTAATGCGAGTTTTCCTTCAAAATTCCTATGGTTTCATACATCTAATAGTAACCAAAAGAAACTTCATAGGGTTTAATCCTATGTGCCAAAGAGACATATAGGAAACTTTACTATAGAACTAGGTAGCGTGTCCGTACATTGCTACGAAATAACTAATAATTTATACTAAAAACATATGGATCGTACAATAAGATAATAATATTGTTAAATTAAATACCAACGTTAAAGTGACATTTAATCCAAAAAGCAAAGTTTATGAATTTAACACAGTCACGGAGTGCGCGGCGTCGCAGGCTCACAAACTCTAGAGCTTCCAGAGATTGGGTCGAATCCAACCTAGAGCCTTTGAACCCTACATCTTTTCCTGGACGGGCTTCACTTCGGATGCGTCGGTAGCAATATCAACGATCTCCAGTCGATGGACCAAGTCATATGGATCATCATACAATGGCTCAAACATGTAGATTTTGTTCTACTTGTACTTGGATACACTTAATCCACTTAAGCTTTCATTGAAATGTTTAGACACGAACGGTGTCTGATCACCGATGTCCCTCACCCTGGACCACTCCGGCGTATGATCGTGGATGTTGCACTTGTAGATCGCGCTGCTGTAGGTGAAGCTCTGTGTCTCGTGGAACGTGCTCACCATGGCACCCAAAATGTGCAGCTCACCGTTTGATTCCAGGTAGCTGCGGTGGTAGAGCGCCGCAGGTGGCGACAACGATGGCAGCAGCGTCGCGGTTGGAGTAGCGCCGACGACGTTGCTGCTACAGACGGAGATTTCTCCAGTGCAGTCGATCGTCAAGAACTTATCTTGACAGTGGACGATGGACCAAAAAATATCCACACTTTGTTGTTTTTAGTTATATGAGATTTATAGTCCTCCAAGGTCACACACATCCTGACCTCGGATTGGTGGATAGCAAGTAGGAAGAGGATTAATAAGAGCACCTGGCCTTTGCTGAGCAGTGCCGATGCTTTGGTCTATTTGAAAGGAGCGGAATTATAGGGTGTCTAAGGTCCGTTTGACAGAGCTTCACTTTACTAGTGAAGCTATTTTTTTTTGGCTTTAGCTCCACGAACAGCTTCACCAGTGGAGCTGAAAGCGGTTTTGGTAAACTATTTGGCAAAATGGCTTCTCTGTGAGAGCATGTTTTTATGGGCCTGGAGGAGGAGCCGGGAGAAGCCACTTTTTTTGGCTCCATCCCACCCCAAATCATTGCGAGAGCATGTTTTTAGGGGCTTCACTAGTGAAGCTATTTCACTTTACCCCGTTTGATAGAAAACGGCTCCAAACGGCTCCTGAAGCGGTGGAGAAGCCCTATCAAACAGGGCCTAAACACACTGACCATGCTGGTGTTCAAGATAAGACAAGAAACTCGTAAGTGGATCTGTTACGGGCATTTTTTTACAGTTTTGACGGATAGCCCTCGTTTTAGCTTTAGCCTTGAACATTACAATTTCAGAACAATTTGACAGCATTTTTTTTTTAAAAAGGTTTTGCCAAAAATTTCATGGAACACTATAGTTGGTGCAGGAGCTAGTAACCCTATTGGGTCCTCCATGGCACCTTTTTCAGCATTAAAACTGGGCAGTTAAATAATTGGGGGATAACATGAACACTCTTGAACCTTTGATTTTTCTCCATGGACTTAAATGATACAAAGAAAAAAAACAATAACTACCACCATAAAAGTATCATGTGCCATCCTGTCGATGTAATAAGTACATAATGCATCAAAAAACACTCCTGGATATTGTTTCTCTAAAATATCCCGATGATTATTTATTTATGCATGAGTACGTTTGGTCTGCAAACCATCAGCCTGTTCGTTTCGTCGTAAACGATCATGGATTATTTATTGCTGGCTGGTTTGATGTGAGAAAAAAATACCATTCCAACTTATAATTCACGATCGTATACGAGCAAATGAACAGGCTGCATATCGAACATCTTATATATACCATTTTAATTTTTTCCTCCCAGAAATATATATATCGAGAAAGAAGAAGAAACCAAACGTTATGGTCACCGTGCAAACTTATTGCAGCACACTCGTCTGCACACACATACATACGGGCCGGCGCCGTGTACGTCGGCGTCGCGGCGACCACGAAGCCTCCATTCCTGATTCTAAAACGCCCACGGGTTCCACCCTCTGTCGCTCCCCTGTCTGTCCGAGCTGACTGACGGTTTTAAAAGGGCCCGTGTGCGGTGTAAGGATTCTCGGGTCGGGACGGGAGCAACCGCAGTGGACACATGGGCATGGCCCCTTGCGTAGGGGTTGGGGTTGGGGTTGTGCCGCGCCGAGGAGGAGGAGGAGCCGGGAGGCGGTGACGGACGGAAGCGGAACAGAAGGCGCGGGTTTTGCTGGGCGGCCACCTGGTTCCCGGGTCTTGTTGGGCGGGCGCGGGCCATCCATCATCGCCTTCCGCGTGGTTCTTTTGGCTGCCTCCGTCGTCCCCGCCGCGGGTCGTGGAGGTGAGGAAAGCTTTCCTTCCGGTTTCATGGAAGACTTCTTCTACTCCGCGCTCTCTTTAGTTTCTCTTCTCGCGTAGTCTGCTCTGTTCGCTCTTCTTTTCTCGGCGATTTGCGAGCGTTGGTATCCGAATTATGTGGTTTCTTGGTGATTTTTGCTTTCTTTCTCGGGGACCTAAGTGAAGTGATTCTGCTTCTTCTCTCGGTTCCGATCGACGGGTACGGTTTGTGCGAAGGGGCGCACACACATGAACATGAGGATTGGTGTGCGATTGAATTGGGGCGTTTTAAGTCTAGAGATAAAATTGTTAAAGGCGTTTTCTTTTCTTTTTTCCCCGAGCCGATAAGTATTGGATTAGTTTGTGTTCTTTTTTTTTTAATTTAGATTAGTTTGTGTTCTTGAAGGTCCTGCTTCGAATCGCGCGGGATACAAACTGTTGGATATGTGTGACTCAACTTTTTGTCTCTTTTGGTTTCAGTGAAGATCGTCAACTTCAACTCTTCCGGCACTCGCTGGCAGGGAGGAAAGTGGACAGGGCAAGGAAGGATCGGCATTGGGTCGCGTAGGGGATGGACCGTCGGAGCTGGCTGTGGCGGCGCAAGTCGACGGACAAGAGCCCTGCAGAGACCGAGACCTCGGCGTCCTCTGCATCCGAGAGGATCACTGATGAACAGGTGCACAGTTTTTCTCCTCTCCTTTCTTCTCACCGTACAACTATTAGGAGCTATGCAGAAACTTTCTTCATGCTCTGAATCCTGCATTTCTACAATGTCATGCTCAATTTTAGAAGGAAGTGTAGTGAAATCCATTTCTCCGTGTTTTCGGCGCGTCTAGTCAGATACTGACGAATACAGTTCAGGGAGGAGAGAGGTGTAGTGTAAATCAGACAACAGTAGCAATCTTGGCATTGAAGAATAAATAATCCCCAGTGTAGGAGTGAACCACAAGCAAGCATTGCAGTGCAGGGCGTTCATTTGACTTTCCCAGTCGAGTCCTTCAGTTAACAGGTCATGTAGCATGTGCAGTGCATGTGAGGCTTCATTTTATCCAGTGCCAGATCTGATGGGCCTCTGTAGCCCTGCTAATCTATCACCATTCACCAAGTTGCAACACACAAAGTCTCCAAAAATCCAAAGCTCCAACACAGCTAGACTGGGATTTCCGACTGAGAGGACAAATTCCTTGCTGTTCCTGGCCCTAAATTCGGATGCTGTGGCAGTATAGGGACCCTTGTTTGTATTGTACTGTACCTTCAGATGTTTCAGCAATTCTGTATATATAGGCTTAACTTCTTGCCTGCCAAAAACAGGATCGTTGCGCGAAATACAGCGTTAGCCGTAGACCTTCTAACAGCAGATCAATCGTTTGGGCAAAGGCACACCGACCGTACTCATCATCTACATGCCCACATGGCATTTAGGGCCAGCAAGATTCAGTTTCTCATCCTTCCCCCCAGCATGCATTGCTGTGGTGGGCAGCAAAGCTACAATGCTTACCAGATCCCTCTGTTCATGTTTAGGCCACTGATAAGGGTTATGGGGGGTAGAGGACGAGACTGGCAGTGCTGTCCTGGTGGTTTCCATATCCATACCAAGGTAGGCTCGGTTCGGCAGGGCAAGCCCTACCTGGCCTGGCCATTGCCGGCCCTACCTGCCCATGGACAATGAGGAATTGAGGATGTGGGTGTTGGTTGGGACTCGCTTTCCTCTAACAACATCATGGCTACGCGTAGCTGGATGCGTCTCTTGGTCTTGGTTGGTTGGCCGTTCGTCCGATTCTTCCATGTGCTGCAGCTGCACTGCTACATGCCCGTGGTACACAAACCCAAATGGCTCATCCTGTTGCTGCTGCGTGCTGGCACAGAGCAATCAAGATGCCCCTCTCTCGTTCTTCCAGCTCTGGTCCTGTGCTGGGCGGTGCATGACCGAGTACCTTGGTGCCATTGCTCCTCATCTTTGACCGGAGCTGGCCTTCTCTGTCTGCAGTCTCCATGGTAATGTCAATCGGTTTTTTTTTCAACACTTACCAGGTACTGCGAGTCCTGCTGTTTAGAAGTTACTCCCAGAGTAATTGGGATTTATGGAGTTGTGCTGTGCTGAAAGCTGTGACTGACAGCCTTTAGCCTGTACCCTGTAGGCAGGCTAACATGGTCCCGCGAAAGTACCCTGCCGTGCACATCGATGCGACGGTGTTTGTGCCCTGACAGCAATAGATTCTGGCAAAACTTTCTAGTGCTTCCAGTTGACGATCCCTATTGCTGTGCTTCGGCGGGTATTAAAGCCGGTTGATAAGCCGGCTGAAGTTGTTTTATTGTGAGAGAAAAATACTGTAGATTCTAGCTGATAAGCCAAGCGAAAAATATTCAAATCTTATGAAAGATAATTCATAGTAGTGACTGAAGTTTGAGATGGGTCGCATTCTTTTTCTCTAGTTGCTGCAAAATAAGCAAGCTAATCTGCAGGATATTTGACGGTTTTGGCTTCTTGATCAGGATACTGCCAAGAGCTCTCCAAATTCGACTCGGTCGCCGGAGATCACATCGAAGGAATTGGAGGACGACAACAATGTGAAGGTGAAGGTGTTGAGTGAGAGGCTGTCATCCGTAGTTCTGGATATCCGTGCGAAGGATGATCTCGTGAAGCAGCATTCCAAGGTTGCAGAGGAGGCTGTTCTAGGTACGGTCCCTCTGATATAACAGTGAAGGATCAGGCATTTGAGGTTTCTGAACATAAAAAGTTCAGACAAATCTTTAACTGTATTCCTTTGTATTTAGGATGGGAGAAGGCCGAGAAGGAGATCGCGTCACTGAAGGCGCAGCTGAACGCTGCAACGGCCAAGAACTCTGCGCTGGACGACCGGCTCGTCCACCTGGACGGCGCCCTCAAGGAATGCGTCCGGCAGCTCCGGCGCGCCAAGGACGAGCAGGACCAGACGGTGCAGGACGCGCTGGCACAGCAAGCGCGGCAGTGGGAGTCCCACAAGGCCGACCTCGAGCTGCGCATTGTCGAGCTCACGGCGAGGCTGGAGGCCAAGTCCGAGCGCTCGATGGCCGCCACCGACGGCGACACCGGTTCCAGGCTCGCCGCACTGGAGAAGGAGAACTCGGCGCTGAGGGTGCAGCTGCTCGCCAAGACAGAGGAGCTGGAGTTCAGGACGATCGAGAAGGAGCTCAACCGGCGGGCCGCGGAGACGGCGAGCAGGCAGCAGCTGGATGGCATCAAGAAGGTGGCCAAGCTCCAAGCTGAGTGCAGGAGGCTGCAGGCCGCGGCACGGAGGCCCGCCGTCAACGTCGAGCTCAGACGTTCTCCGAGCTCGGCCGGCGCCGAGTCGGTCACGGACTGCCAGTCGGACTGCTCCGACTCATGGGCCTCGGCCCTCATCACCGAGCTCGACCAGTTCAGGAACGACAAGAGCGGTGCAAGCACCAGGACCGCGAGCCTCGCGACCGCGGACATCGGCGTCATGGACGACTTCCTCGAGATGGAGAAGCTCGCCTCCGCGAACGGCTTGTCGAAAGGCGACGCAGTCGAGGACGCGAGCGGGCAGCTGGCGAGGCTCGAGGAGAAGGTCAGGAAGCTGGCAGCCGAGAAGGCCGAGCGGGAGAAGGCGCTGCACGAGGCTCAGCGCGAGCTGAGGACTTGCCGCCACCGGGTAATGGTGGCAGACGAGAGATCAGCTGAGCTGCAGCGGCAGCTGAACCTTGCCAATGGCGAGAAACACGCCATGGAGGCCGAGGTGGAGGCTGCTGAGGCGAAGAGAGGAGAGCTCGAGGGCAAGCTCGAGCTCGCCCATGCCGAGATCGCGGGCTTGCTAGACAAGGGGCGCATTCTGGAGGAACGGCTCGAGTCTGAGAAGGCGCTGACGCTTGAGCTCGCAGCCAAGTACCAGGACATGGAGGCGCTGGGGGCAGAGAAGAGGGAGTTGAGCGCTCAGCTGGAGACGTCACGGTCCGAAGCCAAGAAGCTCAGCGACAAGATCACCCTGATGGAGAGGAAACTGGGGGTGGAGAAGGCCTTGTCGATCCGGCTGGCGACGAAATGCCATGGCATTGATGCTCTGGAAGCAAAGAAGAAGGGCGTCGAGCTCGAGCTGGAGTCTGCACGCGAGGAAATCGCTTTGCTGCAAAAGAAGGCTAGTAGCTTGGAACTGCGAGTCGAGGAAGAGAAAGCGTCGTCTGCTGCACTGGCAATGCGGTGCCAAGAACTGGAGGAGCTTAGATCCCAGCTGGAGTTTTCGAACTCACAGATCGTTGAGCTCAATGAGAAGGTTAAAAAGCTCGAGGATGTAATTGAGAAACAGAGGCCAGTGACGGTGGAATTAGAGTCTCAGCTTCAGTCGAGGCACGCTGAAATCAGCAGCTTGAAGGAGGATATAAGCCTGTTGCAGAAGATGCTGGAGAGCCAGAAGAACCTGTCATCAGCTTACATATCTGCACTGGGTGCTTCTGAAACTGAGAAGAAAGAGCTGGCTAGTCGGTTCGAGCTCAGAGAGAAGGAAGCCGAAGAATTACGTGGGAAGATGAGTTTGCTGGAGGAACAGATCCATAAAGAGAGGGCACAGTCATCCGAGCTTGTGGTAAAATGTCAGAAGATGGAGGAACAGATCTCCTGCAGATCCCTTCTGGGACACCAACCAGTGAAATCTGTGGCAGTCAAAGATCTTCAGATCAGAAAGGTAACTTCCATTTTGACTGCCACAGATTGTCTTATTGTTTGCGGTAGATCCTGGTGGTGATTGGTAGATTTGTTACTCATGAAATCCTACACTTTTTTACAGGAGACAGAGCTGGCCAAGGCTGCAGGGAAACTGGCCGACTGCCAGAAGACGATAGCTTCACTGAGCAGCCAGCTGAAATCCCTGGCCGATTTCGATGAATTCCTCCCCGAAACCGAGACCAGTGGTGCTGACTCAGCCGACGCCTGGGACAGCGATCTGAAGCTGCTCCATCCTGCAACTGCAAGTTATCCCACGCAGATTGGTTGTTTGGCAGTCACATGATTCACGATCCTCGTTGGCAAGTGGGCAGCGAAACTGTTTTGGCTTGGCTTCCGCTGCATGATTGCTGTGCTGAGATTGCCATGATCTTCCACACACATGTCATATAGAGTTAAGTTAATAGTCTATAGGTGAGCAAATGTTCATATGGATGCTGTTTATAGAGTTGGTTGGTGAAGCATCAAAGGAACTCATATTGAAGATTATCTTTGATCTCCCAGTCTCCCTGTCCCTTGGAAATGGCTTTTAGCCAACATGTGTTCCATCTTGATTGTTTTCCGGCGATTTATATTTTGCAGGAATGGATTGCATAGTGAATGGAATATTCAGTTAGATCTGAAACATCCTCATTGTCAGAAGACTCCAGAAATAGTGAAATACACATAGCATGTGAATCAAAGAATGTAAGAATAAAAAACAGGGGCAGGTTCATATGACGGCACGTTCCCACCGGACATGCTACCACTCCAGAAATACACATTGAAGGCTTCAAGCCAGCCACACCCCTACGCCGGCCGAACCATACCCAAGCCCGAACCCCGGACCCTACCTCTTGTCAGGGGGTAGCAGCACAATAGCGGAAGACGCTCTGCAGCCTCCTAGGGCTCAACCGGAAAGAATCGGCAGCGGATCTGCCCCTAGAAAGTTGCCGAACAATTCATTGAACTGTTCTTAGGTTCTCCGGAGCTCTATATCGGCCTATTGTGCTGTAGCTCTCATACGAGCTGTTGGGTTGCTTGGCAACGGTTTGGGATTATGTTTCTAAGATTTGAGCTTCTGGCGATGTCCAAGTTGCGGTGGGATCTGTGCAGGCCAGCGGAGATAGCAGTTTAAGTAGTTTAAATTAGAGCAAACAAATCATTGGGTGCGGTGTGTAACGATGTTTCATTAGTTAATTGGGAATTTGCTTGTCGCTCTGGTTGTTCCATTCGTGACTAGGACTTTTCTAATTTCTACATTTCTTCTCTTTTACTCGTTTTCATGGGCCTATCACGTTTTTTTTATTGCTGCACTTATTTTTGCTTATCTATTTCTCATTGAACAATTTCTCCTCCATTGTTTGCACGTCCTTAAGATCTACTCCCCTTTCTTGTCTCTTTCTATTTGTTCCTTCTACTTTCTTAGAACATTGCTTCTCATACTGGGTCACTGTCTACTTTCTTCACGTCTCATTCTAGTGATATTGTCTATGTGGTCTCATTCTTGTGATATTGTCTATGTGAAAAATTTTCAACTACTTGCATGTACATTTTTCTTTCTGGGCAATATGCTTCTTCAGCACAAGTATGTCGAATCAGTTCTTCCTAGTATGCTGATTCAGTATATTTTTCTTGCTCAGTACATATGAAGTTATATGGTATTATTATTAATAGCATATTTTATGGGACTTGAGATGATTTGACATGTTTATCTACTCAAAGGTTTTGCTTCATCTCTATGCAGCTAATAATTCTGATGTTTTTAGGAGTACAGAATTGTTCCTAAATAATCAAGAGTGACTATTCTGCTCCCTGAATTGCTTAGACCTGCTAATTCATCCTGTAGTCATTGTCACACTATTACATGGAAACATCAAGCACAGATTGTTGTTGTAGGCATATTAAGTTTGTCTGTGTGTGGGTTCTTTGTGTGTTTGGGTGCATGTGTCTTAGAAGGTGGTTTTTTTAGCTGTGGTTCTTTTTTGTCCTTTGCCTTCTGAGTGTGTCTGTCTGTGTGTTCTTTGTTTGTGTGGGTGCATGTGTGTCTTTTTTGTGTCTCTCTCTTCCTCTGTTTGTGTGTGTGTCTGTGTGTGTCGGTTTTTTTTTGGGTGTGGGTGTTTTTGCTCTGTTTTTTTTACCTTTTTATTTTATTTTCCTTTTTTTCTTTTTCTTTTGGCATTAGTTGTATATTTTTAGAGTTGTGTTATGTTTTTGCCTTATTTTTTGTCATTTGCCTTTTTGAGTCTTTCTCTCTCTATATATCTGTGTCTGCGTGTGTCTCTCTCTGTGTGTTTTTCTCTATCTGCGTGCGTGCGTGTGTCTCTCTCTATCTCTGTGTCTCTGTCTCTCTGTGTGTGTCTCTCTCTCTGTGTGTCCCTCTCTCTCTCTCTGTGTGTGTTTTTTTTTGCTTTTTTTTGTGTGGATATGTGTCTGTGTTTGTGGGTGTAGTGTCTTTGACAACTGATGGTGTGTGTGGTTTTTTTTTCTTTTGAGGGCCCCAAAGCTATTTTTTCTTCTTCTGGGTTGTATTTTAGTTGCTGCTGTTGATTGAGCTGCTATTGATCAGCAGTAGCAGCAAATGTAGCGTTGCTGGTGTGTCTCTTTCTCTGTGTGTGTGTGTGTGTGTCTGTCTGTGTGTGTGGGTTTTTGTGTGTCTCTCTCTCTCTCTCTCTGTGTGTGTGTGTGTGTGTCTTTGTGTGTGTGCCTATCTTTCTTTCTCTCCCTCAGTTTTTGTGTGTGTCTCTATGTGTGTTTGGGTGTGTGGATGGGTGGGTGTTGTCTTTGGTGAGAGTGTGAGTGTGTCTACGTGTGTGGGTGCATGTGTTTGTGTGTTTCTGTGTTTGTGTCTTCGTCTGATTGATTTATGCTTTGGTGAAATGCAGATGTACGATATCTTCCAGCTTCCCCCAGCCAAGATTCAGGTTGGAGTCTTTTCTCTGCTACCATACCTCCTGAGGCCCTTGAGATTACCCGCAAGTTCATGAATAAGCCACTGAGAATCCTCATGAAGAGAGATGATCTGACCATTGTCGTCAGTAAGTAGGTCGAAATTGCACTCAAGATTTTCTTCCAGCATACTAGTTAGTCTTATTACGGGGCATACAAGGCGTATTTTGGAGGATACCTATTTGTGATCATATCTGAATGGACAGAAGAAAATAATGGGATTTATTCTGAATTGTAACACCTTGTTTTGCAGAACCAGGGGTACTCAATTTTTGTTAAGAACTTTCCTTTTGAAGCAACTGTTTGAAATGGTTGAACAGGAGTTCAACAAGTTTGGTGCTATTAAATCTGGTGGTATACAAGTCAAATGCCAGGTTAGTTTAAGTTGTAGGTTCATGGGGTGATTGGTTTTGAGGGGTTGATGGTCTGAATCTGTCTTTAGTTCCTTTGCAATGAAGTGAAATATTCTTTGCCTATGGTACTTGTTGCTTGTTTTCTTGTTGAAACAATTGGTGGCATCCTTTTTCCTTTGCAGGATAACGTCTTTGTCCAACTGATCTGCACAATTCAATACCGTGTTGTCAAGGAAAATGCAGATGATGCATTCTATGAGTTGCAGAATCCCCAACAGCAAATTCAGGCCTACGTCTTTGATGGTGAATTATTAGCATCGAGCTTTGTTGGTTTTGTACAGTTTCTCTCAAATATAACCTGAAACTTGTACTTTTATGAAAAATAGTTGTTCGAGCCATTGTACCAAGAATGAATCTGGATGATCCCTTTGAGCAGAAGAATGATGTGGGCCAAAGCTGTACTGCAGGAGCTTGAAAAGGTAGGCCGTGTTCGGCTGGCTGGCTTGCCTTTTTTTTTCCAGCCGGAGCAGTGTTTTTCCCTCACAAAATTTCAGCATGAACAGTAAAATCCCATGTGAACAGTTCCCATTTCAGTCCAACCGAACACTCTCGTAATTTAGAGGCCTATTTTAAATATTGGTAGGGGATTGGCTACAAATGAATGATTCTGCCTGCAACTATGGTGACACTTATGGCCATTGTTGTGGTGATAATTTGAACGAGTTAACCATTCTGCATATATTCTGCTTTTGATTAGCAATCTGCTTAGTGATTACTGCAGTCCTTTCTGGTTTGCCCTATGTGTATCCCTACAGTTTAGCTTTGGTTCAGTACATCCTAAACATGTTGTTTTATTGCATGTGGACCTCTTTATTTCCATTATTGGTTTTAGCATGTGTATTAAAAGGAGTTTCATAACTATTTGATGAACTTGGTTGTGTGACAAGTACTGTAACGGTCCATAGACAACCAACATGCTTATCTGTTTTGACACCATATTTGTTTCCGATGAAATCAGAATCTTGTCTGGTTGATATTTAGCCTATGTCCGATTCAATTGCTATTGTTTAGTTTTGTCTAAAACACATTGTTTCCTCTGTATTATTGGCAATGTCTAGTAGTATGAGGTTATGTCATCTCTTGAGAGAGTATTCCAATGTTCTACCTTTTCTTGTATGCCCTACCACATATGGCTGTTCTATGTCTGTCCTGGCAAATTCAATAAACTCTTGCTGCTGTCCAGGTGATGGCAGATTATGGTTACAGCATTGAGCACATTCTCATGGTTGATATCATCCCTGACGCTGCTGTTCTCAAAGGGATGAACGATATAAATGCAGGTATTGTGCCATTTCTGTACATGTGAGAATTGCCTCCAGGTTATACAGCTTGATGTAGCTTGTGAAATGTTTGCTGAACTCTGCAATGTTCTTATTAAGTTAAAACTTTCTGGTGGTTTTATGCTATATTCTGTAGACATGCAATCCTACCAATCTGACAATGACCATTCCAGATTACCATCTCCTACATCGATGAAGCCCACCATACGAGAGGCAGGTGCAGCTTGCAGATTACGGGTTCACGTGTACATGCTTGAAATGCCAAGAAGACATCGGTCTGAAAGGAGATCTCTGCTTGAATTCTGCGGCATTTGTTGAAAGATAACGGGGTTTGGATCTTTTGTCTACTGTGTAACCGTGTTGTGCAAATCTGACAGATTTGCAATACAAAAATCTGTCATTTTTCTTGGCTGATGTGTCAGCTGTTGATTTGTCAAAAATTTGATAGATTTTTTGTGTAAGAATCTGTCAACAGATATGTAGACAGACCCAAAAATATATATATCTCAAAGAATGTACAGTGAAATTCCCTTGCAGGGTTTCAAAAGGGATACACTGTTCCAAACAAACTACAACACAAAATTGTGTAATTCTGCAAAATCAAGTAAAAGACAGGTAATGAGATAAATGATACTTGTTCTAGGCGTCCAGCTGTTTCTTGCTCTTCTTCTTCAGGCATTTGCTTCTTTCTCCTGATTTTCTTCTCTTGGGACTGCACATTTCACCGTCGCTGTCTCGCTCCTCGTCCCCTTCAATAGTTCTACTCTTCTTTTTCTTCTTTTCTTTTCTGGCATATATTTCACCATTAATATCGCTATGGTCGACCACTCTAAGTTGTTCTTCGTCCTCTTCAATTGTTTTACTCTTCTTTTTCTTCTTTTCTTTTCGTACTTGAGCCTCAGTCTCATCCTCCGTAATTGTCTTACTCTTTTTCTTCTTCTTTTCTTTTGGGACTTCAGCCTCAGCCTCCACTGAAGACTCCAGTTGCATGGATTTCGTCTCTCCAGGCTCTATGGCAATAATAGTGTTAGCATAGGACCACGTAGATGTCCTTGGAGGAAATGGGATTTATGAGTAATGCCATTTTCAGGTCTACAAGGCTACAATGGTTCTAATGGCAAAAGGGGGGGCTGCCATCTCAACCACCATGTTATTCAGGATATGTGATTGTTAAACATTGCCTATAGTTTAACTTCTAATCTTCTAAACTAAGAAAATGCATTTGAAACTACAAACAAGAAACAATTGGTGAGCAGTGATAACTGTTGTGGATAGATAATAACCTTCAACAGAAAAATGTGAATCAAGGACCACAGTTGTAAGATGCTGCTTCAGAAAGACCTGCACGAGAACAAAACAAGACAACTAGTGAATAATGGAAATAGCTCAAATATATTAGAAATAATTCATTTACATTGAAGTAAAAGTTTGAAACAAGTATACTATCAACTGTCAGTGACCAAGTTACTACATTTTGTTTTGTCAAATAAAATGGAGGCCCAAAATTAGATTGCAATGCAGTAAAACAAAATTAACTCCAAGATATGCTTGAATGGTATGTCAGCACTCAGCAGTTCTTGAACTTACAGAGGATAGCAACTGTCTTGTGTTTGTGTCCCAGATACGTAAGTAGCTATCCAGTCCTACAAAGACAAACATTTCCCGAGTTATCCATAATTCTGAAACTTGATGTTTTAATTTGTAACAGAAACTATCTCGAATGCCAAGTGAAACAGGCATCCCAATAGAAAGAAATGAGCCTTTCTAGAGGTAGCCTCACCGCAAGATGCTATCAAAGGTAGCTCTGGATGCCTAACAATAGATCTAATACTTCCACTGCATTTGCCAATATAGCATCCCAGCAATTTCCCTGAAAAAAGGGGGAAAATATTGATTTTGCAATTTTAGTAACAAAGAAAAATCAAAATAATAAAAGTGATAATAAAGCTATCAAATGGTAGCTCATCATCGCTTGCACATGTGAATATGTGATTCTTTCAACAGCACAAACATGAGGGTATCTGTGAACCTGTGCAAGTTACATATATCAAACCATTCTCTTCCTGTTAAGTGTTACTGATAACCTATTTTCTATCCTTAACTACCATCTAAACAACAGCTTTATATAAATTATCATAGCCCATGTTCAGCCTGCCCACAATGTGTCAATGTGTATTCCTATCAATACAAATGTAGGTCAGCATTGATTTAGTTGTAATACCACCTTAGCTGCAGATTACTGGCTAGCTGGAGAAAAAAAGGTACCAACAGTGGAACAGAAGGTGCATTGCCAATTAAAACCATCCCACATTACAAAAAAAAAAGGAACTAACAACATCCTAAAGAATGTATCATATGATCAAGTTTTCAATTCTGTGTTTAAGAGAGGATAACATATAGCAGCATGCCAGCACACCATACCTGTTCTCATGTCAAAGGAAGCAAGATCCCCTGTTCCTGTGCCAATATAGACATCATGCCCATTCGGATCAGCAGCAACTGCCTTGATTGGTGACTCCCTGAAATCAACAGAGATGGCAGGTCTTCTTTGCACTGCAGTATCATACAAGCGGACCTGAAAAAAGGTAAACGCCATTCACATAAAAATGCTCAGTATCATCATCATTGCATTAGCAAAATATGGAGGTATACCAGTGTCTTTACATGAACATGCCTTGCTAACCTACTGCCTACAAGACCGTAATGACATAAGTGCAATAAATTGCCTTTTAGTCTATATAAGCTACGACAGAATACAGTATAACCCCCCAGTCAGTTAACAGATGCCTGAGTCACCAAGTGTGTTGTAAAGGTTGATGCGAGGACCTGGTTAACCATTTTATGCAAAGCACGGATAAAAGTAAGAAGGATGTTAGCTATCTGTAGGCCTGTTCCATTTGCAGTATGGCTTTGGGCAAGTTCTTAGCTTGGCATATTAGATACACAACTTGAAAAATATCATGCATTTAAACCAACACACATGAACTTCGAAGCAGAAACTAGCATCCTTGCAGTTCAGGCACATGATAATTTACAACAACAAAACCTGTCAGTCCCAAACAAGTTGGGGTAGGCTAAGGCACATGATAATTTATTTGATCAAAATATGTTCAATCTCTTGGGAGTTTTTCCTTGCCATAGCAAGAGATGCAGACATCAGTTTACACTACCTGATGATTATTTGTACAGGCTACAATTTTACGATGATCATCCTTGCACAAGAAGGTTCCAGCAGTGAACCAAGGTCGAGCGAATATACCAAGACTATTTGCTCGGGGCTTCGGATGAAACAAAGAAAGAAACCATTTAATAAAGGATGAAGGCCTTCTGTATTAGTATCAGAGAGAAATAAACAAAGTCAGTCAATGAGTGCTTACAGATTTAGCAGACCATGTCTTACTACAAGATGTGATATCCCACAAGTTCACTTCTATACCTTTCCTACAACAAATGGAGCCATTATTTCTGGAAGTTAAAATTTGCTTACAGATTTTCATGTCAAATAGCAAAAATGCTGAACATAGGCAACAATGTTTCAAATGCAAATTTTGAAATAAAGCAGATAAACCCTGTTTCAGGTTCTTTAAACTCACCCTCCAAACATCACATAGCTTTCGCCATGATCAACTGAGCAAAATTGCACATTGGCCCCACTGCACACATCCCATGTGGCTGATGGCCCAACATCTGAGCCCGAAGCTGCATTTTCTTTCGTGATGGACCTTATAGAAGCTTTCCCCTGCTCCGAGCAGGCAAGAAACGTTCCTAAGCTGCAATGCACAATTGGGTCAATATGACTCAGCCACCAGCTAATAGCATGAACTAAGAACCTAGAATGACAGTAGGTGGAACAATTGTGGGATGAAAATTTACATCGAGTCTGAAGCCTGCCTTGTGAAAAGGTGCAATGCGGCGAGGGGATCACCTTCAGCGCCACCATCATTTGGTGCTGGCCCCACGGTCTTGACAGCAGCCAGAGCATCCCCATTCAGGGGATTCAGCAACTCAACCTACACGAAATCACCTAAATCACACACTATTGGGCACATTGCAGGCAAAGAGCGCCTCAATTCTAAGAGCAGCGGCTACTCACCACGCTGTTCTTCCTCGCCACAGCCAAGACCTGCAGAAGAGCGGCACATAAACGCAAATTAGATGCACGCCTTGATTTTACCAATGAATCTGATAATAAAGCCTCAGTCGGCAAGGAGGCACGGGAAGGGATGCTCACGGGGTCGGCGGCACGATCGGCGAGGGAGGCAGCGACGATGGCGCGGAAGGCGTCGGGCGCGCCCCACGTCTCGACGACCTTGGCAGCGCCCGCCGGCTTCGCGTGGGCCTCGACGACTGCAACCGGCGGGGAAACGGGTAGAGTCAGTGCTACATAGCAGCGCGAAGAGGACGAGGGGGCAAGCGGCGGAGGGGAGGGGGGAAGGGTCGCGGGCTACCTTTGACGAGGCCGAGGATGTCGGTGGTGATGGCGCGGAGTGGCGGGCAGCCGGGGCTCTCCACCACGGTGGTCCGCGGCATCCTTAGCTCCGCGTTGCTTCGGCTCGCCGGCGCGGTGGAAAGGGGAAGGAGGAAAAGTTTTTGGGGCGAGCAAGTGTTTTTCTAGGGTTTTACGACGTGCCGTGCCCGGGCGCCGCCGAACTGTGATACCGCGCGGCGCGGTGGCGGGGCGGGGGCGTCAGCGCGTGGTCCCTTGCCAACTACAGTACATGGATTTTGACGGGCCGGGCCGTGAAAAAAGCCGGTTGCGCTAGAGTTTCAGCCTGGTCAGGTCCACATACACCCACAACATTGCATCATACAGTTCGTGCATGCACTTTGAATACAGTACTGAACTTGAGTAAGCATTTTTTTTCACCATTAAAAATAACTAACGAATGAAGCTACAGTCAATCCGTCTACTCAGTGGCTGCTTGTCTGATCCTCTCCCCTTGTAAACCTAATACACTATCATGGCAGCCGTTACTTGAATTGTCGTTAGGCTTTGGGTTTGAGGTTTAGGATTGAGGAGGATGCTCATCTCACTAGAGAAGGGTTATTATCTCTGGGGATATGAAGCTGTACCTACGGACTACGGTTCACGGGTCCGGTGACAACTGACAAAACCATGCGCGAGCTGCGGCCTGCGGGTGGTCGGATCGGACGGACTACTTGCCTAGCTACATCCGGCTGCAGCCGCAGCAGTCTTGTGTTGCTTGAACTTTCTCTTTGCCATTGTGCTTGCTGGTTGATGCCTTGTAGCTGCGTCTAGGCGCTGCAACAAAATCACAGCCGACCACGGCGGTGTGAGAACCATACTAGCGAGAGCG